GGGGGGGGGGTAAAACTTTCATCAGAGTATCTCCCTGTGAGGACACTGCAGCACCGCGCTATGGGTCCTGATGAGCCTGATGACGGGTCTGCGGCGCGCCAGCAGGCTTCTGGGAAAGGGCATAGTGAGCAGGCCGCGCCTTGCTCACGCCTTGCTTCCCACCGCCGAGTGGGCGAGGTTGTAGTATGAGCGAGCAAAGCGGCGCCCCAAGGTCGCGGCTGCTGCGGCCAGCCGCGGTGCAGCAGCGGTGCAGCAGCGGTGCAGCCTGCAAGTGCGGCGCGCACAGTTCCGCCAGTTCTAATCTCGCCCGATCCTCCTCTTCTACGCCGCGGGGGGCGCCGCCGCGGCGCGTCGTCGTCGTCATCGCGCGGGGCTCTGGTGGTACCCGAGGAGGCTCCGCGCTCATTTCCGCTCAGGACAATCTCCGCCGCCGCGCCCACAGCATACACCACGGAGCACCGCGCCCACTGCACCGTGATAAGGTTGGGGCCTCCGGAGCAGGGAGGTGCGGAGGGGTTGCGTGTCCCTATCCTTGCTCTCTGCCGAGTCGAGAGTCTCGCGGGGCAGCTACGGCTCCTGGGGTCACTGGGAGTAGTCCGCGCGCATGGCGCTTGAGAGGATTCTGTCGTCTGTCGTCGCGCACACGCTGTGTGACGGTCGGCTAAAAGTTTTAGTCTTGAAGTCGTCAATCTGCAGTTTGCATGTTATGACATCAGCGTCGCCGCTGCGCCACTGTATTGTGTCCCTTGAGTGCTGGTGTATCAATCGGCCTCCACAGACATGCGCCTCTTTGTCACTTTCTCGCACGTGCTATGTCGTCGTTGTTTTTTGGGTCCGTCAAAAAAAACTGACGGTGTGGCGTGGCGCAGTTCTGTGAGAAAAGTCGAGTACAGTTCGTTACAGAGTCTAGCAGGCGTCAACCAAACGGGTACCGAGCACACCGACAACCGCCACCACATGCAAACACTGCTACTTGCAGGACTCGGGCCCAACCCTCTTGTCGTACCCATGCATGCAGGGCCCCCCGTGCAGAGCATGACGCACTACGACTCATGTCCACCCCTGAATGGGCTGCACCAGCGCTGTCCGAGTCAGATCCTCGCCACCCTCGCCTCGTCGACACGGGCGAGCTCGGTTCTGTCAATACCTACATGGGCAGTGCTCGACTGCCTCTTTGACAGCTCGCCCGCCCGCTGCCAGAGCCTCAAATATTGATCCCTCATCTGCCGTTCAATTGGCCTACGCAGTTAGAAAACCCGAAACCCGGGCACGGAGGTTTCAAACTGCGCAGACAGACGACGGACGGCCGACGACGGTCAGCTGGAAAATCAATGGCCAGGCAGGCAGGACCGCCTCCCTGCAGGAGGCGCGGGGCGGCGGCGGGCGCGGCGCTAGCGAGCGGGGCGAGGAGGAGGCGGAGGAGGCTCGGCCCGACTCGACTCGGCACGACAACGGACGGCACGGCGGCCCCTGGGCGCCAACAAAACGCCTCGGTCCTGAATGAAACCGCCGCCTTACCTCCACATGGCCGAGGGATCCCGTCGCGGCGATCAGCACACAAAGGAAACTCACAAAACCCGGTACTTCCATCATTTTTCGGATCACTTTTATCCGCAAAATGAGGCACGCACTGCGCGGGACATCCGCCTCGGCGCTACGACAGGAGTCAACTGATAGTTCTCGGCCCCACCGCTGGGGGGCGGGCCGAGGCGCTGCGAGGCGAGGGCAGGGCTCGGGGCGGGCGCGCATGCGCCGGGAGGCCGGGCCGGCGCATCCAGCATGGCGGACGGAGCAGACGACGCTCCTCTGTTCCCTGGCCTTACGTTTGTTCGACAGGGAACCCCGATTGTGAAAACGACATATTACCAGCGTCCTAATTTTTAAATAAAAAGTTCTTTATGTTTGTGTGTGGTTGATTTCATCGTATTGTTTTGAACCTAATTACAAAGGTGCTGCAGGATTGACAGCAAGTGCTTTAGATAAGGGAATGACCAACACACATAGATAGCTTGGCTCCAGCTCCAAGGTGAAATCGAATGGAATATGGGGAATATGGCACCAAAAAATAAACTCAATCAATATCAAGATATTTGTTTTCAATATTATCAGCTGTTTTTATTTTCTTCTAAAAGTACTATAAAATGACATAAGGACATTTTGATTGTTTTAACTTGTCAGAAAAACTAATCAATTGTACCATACAATAAACAGCAGCAGTAATCTCTCTTTCTGAGTTTTATAATTCAAAGTATCAAAGGTTAAA